ATAATATCATGAATATTTATTGTTAGAGAAATTTTATAATAGATTATGGAAAGTAATAAATGAGTTTATTTAAATTGTAAAGTATTTATATAGTTAGAGAAATATAAGGAAAGACTAAAAATGTTAGTCTAATGAAAGGGTCCAAACAACTTTTTTAAGTAGATTTGTTTAGACTCCTTCTCTTTTAATAGTATAGATACCTATAAAATTAATGGCTACGTATTTGTTTGTACTTACAAAAATCCAAAATTATATATTTCTATTATCAGATAATAAAAATAAATAACCATAAGAAGATTTATTTTGGCCGGTGGATATCGCATAATGCCAGGTTTAGCAAATTTGTTTATTGATAATACACATTTGTTTAAAATCAAGATGTCCACTTGACATATAAGAAATTGATAGCACAGGTTGTGTATTAAAACCTTTGTTATCAGAAACAAAAATCTATCTATTTTAAATTATGTGGCATCTTTCTATTAAACTTATCTAATCACTTTGAAAATAAATAATAGATACTATAACCAAAATTAATTTTAATATGAATAAAAAGTCGGAGAAAAAAATAGATGTGACTAGAGCTGCGTTTTGTAGTCAAATTGGTCGGACACTTGGGATCTTAAAATCTGAACCAATTTGTCTCCAAACAAAAAATCACAGGTGAACATAAAACTTGAGGACAAAATTTCATGATGATACTACAAACAATCTTATTTGCATGCATTTATAATACATATAAGCTCCAGTAAGTAATCATGTCTCCTTTGAATCTATCCATCTAATTGTAAACTTTTTTTGTCAGCTAATGTTATACATATATCATCAAAACAACTAATCATCTAAATGTCTTATTGATTAACTATCATCTAAAAACATGTTTCGATCATCCTCTGTTTTAGAATAAATTACGCATATTTCAATCAGATTTTTTCATCGTTTCACCATTGTGGTTTGTGGATGAATGATATTTATTTTGTATTGATCATCTAAAAGTATTGGTTTTGTTGTAGGCGTTTAAAGTGAAGTTTGACAAAAAAAAGTGAAGTTCAATTTAGGAAAAAGATAAGAAAAATAAGAGGAGAAGCCATGCGCATACGTCCAGAAGAGTCCATGTGAGTTCACAAGCTTCTCTTTTATTGTTTATCAGGTACTTTCCCAAGAATACAGCTTCCAATTTTCCAATGGGCTTGTTTCATTTTTTCCTTTTTCTTCTTAACCTTTCTTTAATTTTATATTATCAAAATCATTCTGACTAATATTGATTGGTTTTTATTAGTGAACATACTATATATAGATTATTTAGGTAAAATGTCATTTAAGAGATAAACTCTCGAGGAAAATAAGTAAAACTTGTTTGGAAAACGAAAGAAAACATATCTTTGTTAGTTTTTTTTCTAATTTACATAAAAAACCACAACAGTATAAAAAATAGGAAAGAATCGAAGATGGGAGAAACTATCTTCTCCCTCGACTACACCTCTTCTCTCGTCATCTTGGTTAAATGATCGTTTTTCTTTCTTTCACATGTGAAGATATGAAATCTTTAATACTACTTAACTCAAAAAAAATCAAATGAGCATATTGTGTACTATATTAATTAATTAAAGTGGTATACATTCTTGCAGAGACATTAACCAACTTTTTTTAACTTAAAATGATTAAAAAATCTATTAAAAACACAGATCTAATCTTAAATTAGAGGTAAATTACATGGATAGACCTTTTTTCTGATATTTAAATGGAGCGAAAGCAGTAGTTCATATCCATGTAAAATGACTAAAAAATGTGATTTAGTTTTGTATGGTAGATTGAATCAAACATGAAATGTGATGACATTCCAAATCTTTCCTCTTGCCGTATGACCACAAACTCTCAGTCAATACTAACCAACTTGACCGAGTGAGAAATATTTGTAATTTCGTTAACCATAGTTTGTGTATTGTTTCTAAACATTTTGTCCTCAGAACAGTGACTTTTATTTGACCACTCATGTTCTAATAGTACCTTCCACTCAGTTGCGAAATAGCATTTTCGGTGCACAAAAAAAGTTTGTTTGACCACTCTGTTTTTAATCGAGCTCAAATTCGACATTGTATAATCATCATAAAAGTCTGGGGGATTAAACCCAAACAATTTTACCCATAATCTTATTTGGTTTATGGTAACTCAAACGTAAATATCTTTAGCACCAATCTATAGAACCATTACATGAATAAAGTTAAGAAATTCACATAAACTAATTATAAATATTATACTTGTTTTCCACAAAGATATGCATATCAAATAGCCATGTATATTTTATTCTATACCATTTATGTTAATTGTTTTCTTACTGTATCGATTCTAACGTGCTCAAAATTTATATCTAATCTAAATTCTATTAACCCATTATTCTTTCTTTTATCATTTGACTAGACTATCGTTGCTGCTATATAGTTTATCCCCCTATGAGTATTTTAAATTTATGATAGGTGACAACTTATTTCTTAGATGATATTGGCTTTTCTTCATTGTTCAATGTATTTCCGCGATCTTTGGTTTAGCAATATTTTCTTGTCTACGTAATAATTTAAATAGTATATATAGGTTTCTTCAAGAATTATAATCTAGCTACTAAACGAGTAAATTACTTAATTCAATCATCGTTGGTCTCTGTATGACACTATCTTACGTTTCAGAAAACAAGTATCGTTCTATATAACTTGTTGTTTAAAATTTTGATTTAACCCTTGTTATGAAAAAATCTAATTCAAACATTTTTTAAAAAGTAAAGTGATAGAATCTCAAGACTAAAGCGTATAATCAGACATTTTAATTTCGGTGATAAATCTTTATTACAACATTTGTATGTTGAATGAAAGGAGTGTGACATTCATTGTCGTTAAATTGTTTGGTGATATTTTTTTGGCGGTGATATATAACAATTAACTTGACAGTTGACAAAAACAATTATTATTTTTTTTTGCTGAAGGACAGCTATATGTCTTCGATAGAGCTTTGACAAAATACATAAATTTTAATTATAAGATAACGAATTGAAACATTTTAGTTTTCAAACTCTAACTATGACTCTTATGAATTGGTTGTTTTCAAGATCGTTAATGCAAAGAAAAGTAAAGATAATATGCAAAAAAATGACAAAGATATGTAGATGGAATTTGATAGTGACAAAACAAAGCTGCATTTCGTTTCCAATGGGTTCTTAGAAACTCTATCCATTACGATGATCATGTAGCTAATAAAGCCAGGAATAGCCTACAATAATATCATGTAACCTGGCTTTGATCATAGGCCATTGTAAAACCTTCTTCTTATGAAATGAAAAAGTTGACAAAAAAAAACAAAGTTGCATTCATATTAATTAGAAAAAAACTAAATAATTAATTACGATAAAAATGACATTTGTGCTTGTGTAAACGCGATGCTGGTACCTAAAATTCTGGGAAATGTTGTAAGTATGCTGTTGGAGTGACTCGGTGACTTCAAGATTCGCTTCCAACCATTTACGTTACTTCTCATTATTCACCTTTTTAACATGGCATTCTGCACTCCTTATCATTTTCGCTTTCTCAAGTGTTTGACCTAATCGATATTGTTTTTTGTCACATACTTATTGATTTTTTTTTTTTTTTTGTAGCTATACAATCAGGATCAGTAATCCATAAAGACATCACTCCCCAATTACGATAATTGTATTTGCAAATACAAAGCTTTTTCTCTATGCAGGCAAGTGCTCAGTGTGTTTGGCAGGAAAGAAATGCCAGCCGCCATGGACACATTCTCTTGCAAACGGAACTTATGATGCGAGTGGTAGAGACAGAAACGTCTGCAATCGACTTCTCTCTATCCAACAAATTGAAGATGATAAATTGGAAGGTTGGTTTCGTACAAGGCTTGGAGTAAGAACATGAGTCATGTTTGATGCTCGAATTTAGCGTCTTCTAATTTTTTTTTATAAGTTTCAAACAATATTAGATTTAGAAATAGTTGATGAACGAAGAATTTGATTGAAATTTTTTACATTCATCCCAAAAAAAAAAGAAGACCTAGACCACTTGAGTGACCACCAAAGACTCGATTGTGAGGAGCCAGCAAACTAATCCAATCTAAGCCGTTAAAACTCTTATAATTAACCGTCATCAAGATGTGTGAACAGGCAGAGATGATTGTATCTGGGAAAACGTTGATTGGGTTATAGGCTATAGGTTCCTCTGAAGAAAGTAAATTAATGACCGCACATACTGAACATAAAAGAAATAAAAGTGTTACACACAATGAATACTAAAGACGAAAGCACAACCACGAGTATACACAACTAGTTAATTAGCTAAAACATGGATCAAACTGCTAAGAGCTAAAGATGGCTATTAAGCTATGAACATATCAACAATTCTCTTATTATGTGGACAAGGAGCCTGGTAGGGGTTTGTTTTTGTGTTCAAATGCAAAGGCAACCGGTTCGAGTTGGGCCAACTCTGGCCCATAATCTTATAATAGTAATCACATCTTAGCACTCAAAAACAAAGGCAACCGGTTCGAGTTGTAATAGTAATCACATCTTAGCAACCAAACATTTGTATATATAACAATAATTTACAAAGAAAAAAAACCCATCACCAAAACAAATCAAAACCATCACAAAGGACACTCCCCTTAATTTTGAGGTTTCAAAAGAGTACATAAATCAAACACACAATTAAATTAATGAAGATTTTCTCCCAGTAACAAAATAACCATCAGGCACATAGTCTCATGCTTGTGTTTTGAAACTGTAGATCACCTTCTTCTTCTTAAAAGTCTGGTTATTAATCGTGATGACGATCTTTCCTGCTTCACCCACCTTGAAAGAATCGGTTACGACAGGTTCATCAGTTAAACCAATTTTCCGGTTCTTAGAGACGATCATGGTGTAGCTTGCCTCGTTGGTTGGCTCAAATTGAGCTCCATAGTTCACGTTCTCACCCAAAACCCTAAGCTCCCACGAGAGCGTGCAACCCTAGTAGTAACAACACAATACAACCAATTAAACATCAATACTTATCTTGCAAGAATATACCATTATTCTAACTAAAACTTACATAAATGTAAATTTAAGTTTATGTATTAAACTTATAAAGAAAATGAGAAAAGAAAACTGAGATGATTTGTATATACCTCGGAAGCAGGCAATTCAATGGTATGTTTAGCGAAGGATTTAACGACGGCTCCTGTAACTCCATCTTTAACGGTGAATGGACTTTGTTTGCTGAGTCCACCGTACTTAACCGGGACTACTTCAGGAGCTACGTATCTATTTCATCCCCAAAAAAAAAACATATAAGCTTTTTTTTTGTATGAAAAGAAACATCACATTCTACAAAATTTCATGGAAACATAATTACTTGAAAATGGTTTCAGCGGATTTGGATGGACCAACAAGGACCATTTTGCTCCTTGTCTTTGCCGATGTAACGATACTCCCGAATGTTTTGTAGTAAGGAATGTACCACCATGGGACATTAATAAACAGCTGAAACATACATCAAAAATCGTATTGAGATTAAAGTTCTATTTGTAAATAAAACGAAAAAAATTCATAAAAATACACCAACTAAGTTTTTACCTCTTTAGCTACAAACTCAGGATAGTTATCTTCGAACAGCTTAACGGCGCGTCTAATAAACTGCCACAATGCTCTCTTACCGAGCCCTGGAGCGTTCCTGAAGTCACTAACGAAGACAAAAGACGACTTAGCTTCGGGGCTAAAGTCAAGAGACCTCACACACTTTTCTTGGAACTGAATCCTCCATTTGAGGAACTTGTCCAGCTTCTCTTTGTCCGAGAACATCTCCTTGTTCTGGAACTCACCGTAAGAGCTGTAGATCACAACGTGTCCTTGTTTATCAACACCGTGAGCGAAAACCATCTTCTCGAACTCGCTCCCTTGGAGATCTTCTGCCACGAGGTCGTCGATGCTGTTTTCTTTGCGCCATTGGACTGTGTTTTTCAGCATCTTGAAGGCTTCTTTGACTTTGAAGTCGCGAGCTCGGAGGAACTTGAGGAGGATCACGTCGGATCTATCGTCCTTGAGAAGTGGAATCCCCCAGATTGAGACTTCTTCTGGCTGCTCTATGGGTTTAGCTGCTGTCTCTGGAAGGGTGTTGGTGGAGACGATCGATTCTTGGATTGCTTCGATGGTTTTGGTTCCTTCTTCTTGATCAGCTTTCTCGGTTGTTACCACTGCTTCTTGCTCTTCTTCCTTCTTGGTTTCTGTGGTGACCGGTGCAGCCGGTTTGGTCTCAACTGGAGCAGGATCGGTGGAATTCTCTTCCTTCTTTGTCTCTATGACAATAGGAGCAGCCGGTTTTGTCTCTACCGGAGTAGGAGCGACGGGTTTATCTTCCTTCTTGGTCTCTGCGGCCGCAGGAGCAGCCGGATTGATCTCAACCGGAGCAGAAGCGGCGGGTTTCTCTTCCGGTTTGGTTTCAGCTACAATAGATATTTCCTCTGTTTTCTTTTCCTCTGTTTTGACTTCCTCTGTTTTCTTTTCCTCTGTTTTGACTTCCTCTGTTTTCTTCTTCTCGACATTTTCTTCCTTGGCCGGAGATGGCGGAGGAGAGGTGAATTCACGCTTGTTCAAAGCCTCTCTCACCATCTCCTTAAACTCTGCCAACGCATTTTTCTCAGCTTCCAGCAATTCTGAAGCCAAATAGCCTTCTTTCTCTTTAAACGACTCCATTTTCACGATCACTAAAATAATGTGAAAGTGTTGATTGTATTAAGGCTAGCAGCCAAGTATATATATATACAACGTATCTCTCCTAATACTATGTGAACAAGGATAAACACAACATATAAGTAGTAATTATCTCTAACTTAGTCCTTATCTCTATACCCCCCCTCAAGTTGGCGATGAAACATCTTGAATCCCCAACTTGGAAAGGAGATAAGCAAACGTAGTGGATGGCAGAGATTTGGTAAGGAGATCAGCCGGTTGCTCCCTTGTTGAGATATGCTCGAGCTTGATAACATTTTCTTGTACAGCATCGCGAACCTGATGACAATCATTTTCTATATGCTTCGTACGTTCATGGAAGACAGGATTCTTGGCAATGTATATAGCGGACTGACTGTCACAGAATAGCTTCATAGGTTCTCGATGCCGGACGCCAAATGAGAGAAGGATCCGTTTCAACCATTTCAGCTCTCGTAGTGCGTAGGCCATAGAACGATATTCAGCTTCGGCAGACGAGGCAGAGACCGTGTTTTGTTTCTTAGTCTTCCAAGATACCGGAGATGAACCCAACAAGACAATATAGGAACTCAAAGAACGACGTGTTAGAGGACACGCGCTCCAATCTGCATCACAAAAGGCTGTTACTTTTAGAGAAGAATCTGATTTTAAAAGAACTCCTTGAGTGGGACAGCCTTTAATGTATCGTATAACCCTGGTAGCTGCGTCCCAATGATCTTTCCTTGGAGCTTTCATGAACTGAGAAAGTATATGGACTGCATAACAAAGTTCAGGACGAGTGAACGTTAGATATATGAGACGTCCCACAAGACGTCTGTATGGAGCAGGGTCTGCAAGTGGCTGACTTTCCGAAAGAGCAAGCTTGTGGTTGAGCTCAATCGGGACTGCAGACGGCTTACAACCAAGAAGACCCGATTCTGTGATAATGTCGAGAGCATATTTACGTTGGGAGATAAAAATGCCATCTTTGTTCCGAGCAACCTCAATGCCAAGAAAATATTTGAGCTTGCCGAGGTCTTTCATCTTGAAACATTGACTCAGATAGTTCTTGAATTTCTGAAGTGTAGAAAGATCATTGCAGGCGACAATGAAATCATCCACGTACACTAAGATGTGAAGACAGATTGTGCCACGAACATAGGAGAAGTGTGAGTAGTCGGGTTTGCTTTGAATGAAGCCGTACTTGATCAGGGCGTCACTCAGTTTAGAAAACCAGCACCGGGGAGATTGTTTAAGGCCGTAGATTGATTTCCGTAGGCGAGCAACCTTAGTAGGATCAGACCCTTGGAAACCTTGTGGAAGTTTCATGTAAACCTCCTCTTTTAAATCTCCATGGAGAAAGGCATTGGAGACATCCATTTGGTGAACCTCCCATTGTTTTGATGCAGCAATCTCAAGTAAGACACGAATCGTAGAAGGTTTAGCAACCGGGGCGAAAGTGTCTGTGTAATCCAGACCTGCTCTTTGACGATTGCCTTGTGCCACAAGCCGAGACTTAAGACACAAAACTTCCCCATTTGGTAAGTATTTGGTTTTGTAAACCCATGTACTGCCGATTGCCTTTTTGCCTGGAGGAAGTGATGTTACCTCCCACGTACCATTCTGAACATGCGCATCGTGTTCCAGTACCATCGAATCTCTCCATAACTCATCACGTACTGCCTCAGAATAGTTCTTGGGATCAGCCGTTGTAGTGATGGCTGCAAGAAAAGCTTTGTGGCCAGGAGAATAGGCATCATCAGAAATATAATGTGATATAGGATACTGAGTGTTACCTGGAGCCGTAGTAGGAGAACCCAAAGAGGAGTCGAGATGAGAGAGAGGAGAGTGTATATTTTCATGGACAGCATTGACCACATAATTCTTGAGCAACACGGACTTCTGACGATGACGATGTCCACGACCTAAGAGTTCAGGAAGACCTGGCGAAGGTGGGGCATCGTTGGTGTCATGATGGTCTGGTGTAGGAGACGATGGTATAGGGGTTGGTGGTGAGGGAGACAGTGAAGGAGGCGTCGGTTGTGGAGAAGAAGGGGGAGTCGATGCAGATGTAATGGGAGTTTGGGGATGTTGTGAAGAAGAAGTAATAGATGGTTCGTCCAGAGAGGATTCCGAGGTCATAGGTATTGGAAGCAACGGAGAGGAGGTGTTTGGAGTAAGAGAGGTCTTGGAAGGTGTAGTGTCTGTAGGAGTAGTGTTTGTAGGGATAGAGGTTGTAGGAGAGGTCTGAGGTGATAGGAGCACTGGAGGAACCGGAGTAGTAGTAACGTCGTCCGTGTAGAAGTGTTCCTGCAGTGGAGAAGGCGGAGAGATTTGTTGTTGTTGTTGGTGATTGTCGAGGCCAGGAAACTGATCTTCGAAGAAAACAACGTCACGGCTAGTAAAGAACTCATTATTTGCGAGGTCATAGACGTTCCAAGCTTTCTTTCCATGGGGGTAGCCCACAAAAAGACATCGGCGACTCCTTGCAGCAAATTTGTCATTCGTTTTAGGACGTTTTTGTGCAAAACATAAACACCCAAAAACGCGAAGAGAATCATACGTAGGAGGAGAACCGTGCAACAACTCATATGGTGTCTTGCCTCCTAAAATACGAGATGGAGTGCGATTGATGAGGTGAGCAGCTGTAAGTATGCTTTGTCCCCAAAAAGAAACAGGAAGATTGGCTTGGAAAAGACAAGCACGCGCGACATTCAAAATGTGCCGGTGTTTCCGCTCAACGCGAGCGTTTTGTTGAGGTGTATCAACCGTAGATGTCTGATGTAATATACCCTCTTTGCGCAGGTAAGGCTTAAGCTTGGAAAACTCAGTACCATTATCTGTTCTAAAAGCTTTCACCGATAAACCAAATTGGCGTAGTGCCATAGCACAAAAATTCTGTAACAGTAATGGAACCTCAGATTTCTCAAGCATGAGATGAATCCAAACTGCTCTAGAGTAATCGTCAACGATAGTTAGGAAGTAGACTGCGCCACAAGAAGATGGAGTACGATAGGGACCCCACACATCACAATGAACTAAAGCAAAAGGCTGACTAGCTTTATTAAAACTCTCGTGAAAAACTTCACGTGTTTGTTTAGAAAGAAAACACACATCACACGACTTGGTGTGATCAAAATCCAAAGCAACATTGTCTATAACTGGTAAAGTAGATAAAACACCATGAGCTGGATGTCCTAGCCGACGATGCCAAAGTTCTGAAGAAGAAGCCTTTCCTTTTCCAGTTCGATTTGCCCGTGCGACTGTGACACCCTTGAAGTAATACACACCCTCTCTCTCTTCACCTGCTCCAATCAGGGTCCTCGTAAAACGGTCATGTAAAACACATAAAGTATCAGTAAATATCGCAATGCAACCCGTTTGCTTTAGGAGTTTAGAAACAGATATAAGTGTGCAGGTGAAATCTGGAACATATAACACGTCCAATAACGAGCAAGAGGAGTTAAGAAACAAAGTCCCGGATTGCGTTACTCTCGAACTACGACCGTCTGGAAAGGTAACCGTAGAAGAGACTATATCGCGCACATCACACAATAAAGAGAGGTCTCCTGTCATGTGATGAGACGCCCCTGTATCAATGATGACATCTGTGAATAAAGGTTTACCCGTCATGCGATCAGTAGAGAGTTGAGACTGCTGGTTTTGTAGGAGGTTGATCAGTGCTGTGATCTGATCTGAAGAAGCAATAGAATTCCCTGAAGACGAAGAAGGTGCTGATCGAGAAGCATTGACACGACCACGACCACGGGAATTGTTTCCTCGTCCGCCGCGACCTCGTTGGGATTGACTAGAAGATTGAGTGTTCCTTTGTTGTTCATTGAACCAATCAGGATACCCGTGTAAGAGAAAACATTCAGAAGCTTCATGTCCCTTACGATTGCAGTGAGTGCAGAAGCGGTTAGGATCACGGCTCCGATTGGTAGTTAAACCGGAAGTAGTAGAAGTAGAGGGTGACGAATCATTCTTCACAGCAAACCCAAGAACATCTTGTTTATGCTCATTGGTACGCATGGTGAGAATATGTTGCTCGGCACGTATCACCCGGGAGTAGACGATGTTTAGATCAGGAAGCGGGTCTTCATCAATTATCTGAGAACGTATAGAACTGAACCTTGAATCATCAAGACCAAACAGAAATTTGTGAACTTTAGCATCTTCTCGTTCTTTTTCAATATGAGCCGATGCTTCACAAGAACAAGTATAGACCGATTTAAAATTCTGTAGCTCTTCCCACAGCTTAGAAAGACGACCGAAGTAAGTAAGGACAGAGTCACCGTTCTGTTTGCACTTGGTAATCTCATCCTCCAATAGGTGCTTACGTACGCTGTTTTTCACCGAGAATCGATGCTTGAGAGACTCCCAGAGTTGAAAAGCATCCGGAACGTGGCTGACAGTAGACCGAACAGCGGGATCTATCGACGTACGCATCCAACCGACGATCATGGAGTTAGCAGAAGCCCATCTAGCAAGATCAGGATTCGTCGAAGGTTTAATGATGGTGCCATTAATGAAACCAACCTTCTGTTTTGCCTGAATCGAGTTGTAAAATTCAGTCGCCCACTCAGAGTAATTGTCGCCTTTAAGGATCACTGGTGTGATTAACGCGCCAGGATTATCAGAAGGGTGTAGAAAATAAGGGTTTGTAGAAGCACTTTCGATAGGAATAGAAGCAGAAGACTGCGATGAAGTAGAGGACGCAGTAGCCAAAGATGTAGAAGACGTAGTAGCCATGACTGAGACTTGACAATCACGTTAGAGAGAAAGAGAAAAAATAATGCGGAAGCGATGTAAAAAAATTTTAGGTCAAAGGATTGTTTTGCTCTGATACCATAAAATAATGTGAAAGTGTTGATTGTATTAAGGCTAGCAGCCAAGTATATATATATACAACGTATCTCTCCTAATACTATGTGAACAAGGATAAACACAACATATAAGTAGTAATTATCTCTAACTTAGTCCTTATCTCTATAATCACTTTCCCC